ACCTGAGCTGGTTAAAACTGGTCTGAGCTGGTTATATTCTAGTTTATTCCAATTATTTTGTTCAAATATATACAAAACTGAACTAATACTAATGTTAAACTCCCGTTTGTAGAAGCTCTGCAGCCCAAATGATGTTTAGCACTAAAACTGAATTATTATCATCAATCCCCTTTCTAAACGCCGTCCCCTGGTGGTAGTTCAAGGCTTACCTGGGCCAGTTAAAACTTGTGTCTGAGCTGGTTTTTATTCCAGTTTATTCCAGTTATTTTGTTCAAATATACACAAATCTGAACTAATGCTAATGTTAAACTCCCGTTTGAAGAAGCTCTGCAACCCAAATTATGTTTAGCACGAAAAAAAAATTACTATTATCAATCCCTTTTCTAAACGCCGCCCCCTGGTGGCGTTTCAGGGCGCACCTGAGCTGGTTAAAACTGGTCTGAGCTGGTTTTTATTCCAGTTTATTCCAGTTATTTTGTTCAAATATATACAAAGCTTAACTAATGCTAATGCTAAAACTCCCGTTTGAAGAAGCTCTGCAGCCCAAATGATGTTTAGCACTAAAACAGAATTACTATTATCAATCCCTTTTCTAAACGCCGCCCCCTGGTGGCGGTTCAGGGCGTACCTGAGCTGGTTAAAACTGGTCTGAGCTGGTTTTTATTCCAGTTTATTCCAGTTATTTTGTTCTAATATATACAAAGCTTAACTAATGCTAATGCTAAAACTCCAGTTTGTAGAAGCTCTGCCGCCCAAATGATGTTTAGCACTAAAACTGAATTATTATCATCAATCCCCTTTCTAAACGCCGCCCCCTGGTGGCAGTTCAGGGCTTACCTGAGCAGCTGATTTTCACGGTGGAGGCGCTCAGAGCGTCCATGTGGGTCACGCAGTCCCTGAACGCCGGTTTGTTGTGGAAGCAGGCCGAGCTGATCCACCAGGCGGGCGCTCTGACTCCCAGCGGGGAAAAAATGGCCGAACCCGAGGAGCCACAGCCCAGCAGGCGGCAGACGAAGTCCGACGCCTTCAGGCTCCACTCGTAGTTCTGGATCATGGCCAGTTTCCAGACCCCTTCGTGCTTCAGCCGAGGGAACCCGCTGCAGGGACTGGCCTCCCCCGCCAGCTTGATGTTTTCACCAGGCTCTGAGAGAAGACGGGACACTGATTAGTGAAGGAGGGGGGTCTCAGAGCATATATATATATATATATATATATATATATATATATATACACACATATAGGGATGGGACGGTTTCTGAAAACCGTCCGAACCGTTGGGTTCGACTGTCTCGGTTCGGTTCGTGTGTGGTGCGTTCGGTTCATGCACTGCTCCTTTTTCTCAGAGGGAAGCGTTTACACTCCAGAGCAGAAGGGGGCGTTACTGCGCCCAAAGCCAACCACCAGTAGGAAACAAGAAGAAGCAAAGCAGCGTAGCCGGTGTAGCTGATAATGATGCATCAAATGTCAGACTGCTTTTTTCTTTCAGTTTTAACCTGACTATAC